AATATTTCTTGTCAGACAAAAATTCTTATGTAATCATATTTTTTGAAATAAATAAGATGTATATATATATATATATATATTAAAATATGTGAAATGAAACATTTAGATGAATCGACTAAGATGGGTGTATAATATAAAATGATTTTGATATAATAAAATATTCTAAAGTAATAGAATATTTTAAAATTTCTTTAATGATCATTTTTAATATATAAACTATCAAATGATTCTATACTAACTCAGTGTAATAGACATGAACACATGTTATGTTTTATTTCCATTAAGTCGTTATAATTTTGAATGCACGAGTATTTAATGAGTTATTGGTAAGTCAATGATAATTTAAACTAATGTTTCAGGTTTACAACATGGTCTAGAAATTGTAAGAAAGAGAACAAAATTATAGAAGATGTGAATGCAATTACATTCACAATAGTTTTACTTTTAAAGTGATTTGAATTTTATTATTAGTGGAACTTTCAATTTATATGGTGATTGCTTTCTAATTTGAGATAAAAATTGAAATTTGAATCCACTGATCATCTATCAATCCTTCGTAAATTACTTCGCTATGTAAGTTTGTGTTTGAAAAATTGAAAAAAAAAAATTTAATTGAAAAAGAATATATAAGTTGTATGTAAGCAATCTAGGTTATAATAAAGAGTAACCTTCAACCATGCAATCCACAAAACACCCTAGCTTTTCTGAACTTTTCAAACAAATAAAAAAAAAATCCATTAACAAAATAGGCTTACCTAAAATATATGTATAAGTAATACATGTAAACAAAAAAAATATAAATAAAATGACCCAAATACCATTTAGCTCAACTTGGCATGTTTTAACTTCAATTGGCAATCTAGTATTTCCTAGTTGTTTAGAATGGGTTTCCAACAGGCGGGCGAGTGGTGTGCCAAATAAAACAGTGCATACTTCCATATGCCAAAACACTAGCTAAAAACCATGATGATTTCGGTAAGAAAAGCAAATTATGAGATCAAAAACAAAACAGGTGATAAGTAAAAGCTGAGAAAGGAGCAGAAAGCGATGCATGTGTCTGTGTTTGCAAGAGAGTGAGAGCACAAAACTATCTGGATGCGAATGCACCTGAAGCTAAAAGCGAGAAAAGGAAATAAGATCAGAGAGAGAAGGAGAGACTAGAATGCTTTGCATAGAAAAGATGATCAATGGTATGATGACATATTTATGAACCTCAATATTCAGATTAAGACATCATAAGAGTCTTCTATAGTATGTCGCATGTTGTGTGTAAACGAAATCAGGAACAGAACTAGCAAGTGAAGTATGAAAGCCCTATATAAATGGAAACTAAATTGCATAGTTCAAGAGCTAAACAGCAGACTTCAATCACTGGAGCTTCAACTAAGCAGTATGCTGAATCTCCCTAACATTTCCTTCTATTTAACTTTGGTTAGTATAAGTTCACCTAGCACAAGACACTTTCTGAACTTTTATATCTGTTACAGGCTTTCCTATGAAAGCACACGACTTTATCTAACAAAGGAAAGTTCTTTATTTCAGGTACATAAAGCAGATTATGGAGTTGCTTACCACTTTCAGGTATTGTAGTCACTAATCATAGAAATTTTTCAGAAATATGTAAATGGACAACCAAAAGACGACAAGAGCATTCAGTGCAAAAGCAAGAACATGCCAGTAATAACAAATTTATCAAGTAAAAGAATTTAATCAAGAAAATGAGAGTACATAAGAAAAAAATAGAAGAAAATGACTCACCCTGATTCCTCAAATCTTCCTTTTCCACTTTTACATCTGTAAGCCCACGTATAAGCATGTATTACAATGAATATCTCAGAATAAAAGAAAATGCAAAGTTTATTCGTAACATGCTCGATAAGAATTCTAATTTGGCAAGTTCAAGAACTGTAGGAAAAGATTAGGAATGCAACTGAAACAGTTGCAGCAGCATGCAAAAGAACAGCAACCGAGATGGTAAAAAAAGCATACACCATACTAGAATACTGTAAAACTAGCACATAACTAGACCAGAAAACTGACAAACCATTTGAGCTTCGTGGCTTGCTCTGCGTTGACCTCCCTGACTTGGAAGTCTTATCTAGATTCTGATTTTTTGCAAGAAATTTCTGCTTTGCAATATTTTCCTCAGTAAACTTGAGCAAACGGTCAGCCACAACCCACTCATCCCAACTAAAGAAAGGAAATTTCAAAAAGATAAATAATTATGTTTCAACAAAGCAGAGTATGATGCTCTTAAAAGGAGAGGAATGTCTAAACATTGTATTTGACTTATGTTGCAGACATACTAAACTAAAAAATCATATTCAGAGAAAAAAACAATTGTATCCAAAAAAAAAAAAAAAGAAACTCTCAACTTACTTGTATGAATGATCAACTACAATTAAAAAAGAGGCGTTCAAGCTAACACAACTCTGATAATTATATGTTTAGCAGCATCAAAAAAAAAACCAGATAATAAATTAAATATATTACAAAATTTAACATCATATGGAGCTATTCGAGGAAATATAGAAACATTCAACTGTAGAAGACGAAGATAGTTCGGTTTGATGAAACTGTCAGTCTTCAATGAAAGATAGTAGCAACAAAATAAGTTAGAAAAGTAACTAAAAGAACTATCAATCTGCGGTGCATGAAAAACCTCAATAAGGATATCCTCCACATCATTTGGCTGGAGGACAAGATGAAGAGGATGAATGAAAATGTTTTCCCTCACCTTCTCTTTGTGGAAGAAAAAGAAATCCTACAAGAAAGCTCCTCCCAAGCTCCCTTTCTCTTGCTCTCCTCCCCAATTCCAATGGTTGTCGATCCAAATGAAACGGTTGTCGATCCAAATGAAACGAGGCTTTTTCCCTTGGTTAAATCTCCTTAAAAGGCAATGAAAGATAGTAGCAACAAAATAAGTTAGAAGAGTAACTAAAAGAACTATCAATCTGCGGTGCATGAAAAACCTCAATAAGGATATCCTCCACATCATTTGGCTCCCTTAAATCACTTCACAGAATCTCCAAAGATGAAGAAATTAGAAATTAAAAAAATTATGGAGTAGAGCTCTATTGTGACTTTTGGTTTTATTACCATTGAAGTCGATGGAAATTTCTTCCAAGCATGTGGGATTCTGAATTCTCATGATGATGCAAACTTTCTTAAAGGGTGTTTTGGATCCCTAAAAATCCAAATACATCTGCAAAATCAGAATGTCTTGCTCTTTTTAATTTGTCGTCAATCTTTCAACTACAATTTCAAAAGTCCACTCCACATGACTTGGACCAGTCTCAGGGATACAAGCATTTTTAGCATATGAATTATTATCAGTTTTCAGCAGCTTTTTGACCGTTGCAATATGTGCTTGTTTATTTTATGGAATTCTTGGTCGCAGTAATTCATCAATAAGGAAAGCTTTCTTTGATGTCTTAATACTGGAACTGCCCATATCTCATACTTTGAGGATGTTCTATGGCAATTGCCAACCCAAATCCATTTGAAGAGAAAAATTCTCAAGCCTTCCTATCTGCAAAGAGAAACAAAGAAGGAAGACATGACTTTATGTTTTTTTTTTTTATACTCTTACGGGTTCCCCTGCTTGAGTTTATTTTCTTGCAGCATCTGAATAAGCTGCTAGAGAAGTAGGGCTTCATCATTAAAGTTGACGGTTGGAAAAACAAATGACTCAAAGATTAGGTTTATGTGCAACCAAGTGTTTTAACAGTCAGATGTGGTACTTCGGAGTACACATTTAGCCACATAGAGTTTGAAGTTTGTTGCATTTAAGATCACCTAATCCTTATGCTATTATCCTTTCTCCCATTAAGATATATTGGTACTTTCTCAACTTTATTCAAGGGTAGCTTCACTATTAGACGGTTCACAAATGCAATAAGCAGAATACTGTCATGAACTAAAAAGATGACTTTGATTAATGAATGAAAGGCATTTTTGACCTGAAGTGGAATTTGGACCGCCACATCCCTTTCCTTGCTTGAGGATTCAACAACAACAACAACCATGATGCTTGACGATTTGGCATCAACAAAGATTTGTTTGTGCAACTTCTTCCTCAACCTGGTTTGTTCCTACCTATCCTCCTACATCTCTCAATACCTCTTCCTTTGTTGTGCGACAACTGCTAGAGTCCCTGCTTCATCCCTCGAGGTATTCCATCAAATGAACATATAAGTTCATATCAACCAAAAGTTCACACAAAAAAGACATCAAGCTCAAAAGCAAGCCTTTGCCCCTGCCAAACTATTGTTTGTCCTTTCCATCAAACGTATTCAATCTCTAATATCTCTTGATAATCATATAAAAGTTTTTATTTTGTGTTCAAGAAGCCACTAATTAGACAAATATCCGATTATGCCACCTGCCATAGAATTGGTAATGGTCTAGAATGATAAATTGATGGGATTTATTTATGTAATTACATTTTTAAAATTATCAAGAAGTAGAATTTTTCTTTTATTTAAAAATTGTATTATAGCAAACCTAAAGGGAAGAAAAAAATTTTAGTGTTCAGACTATTTCTATAAAGAGTGTCTCATTCTTTGTTAAAATCATGTGATGATGAGTCTTACTGGCAATCCACAAGCCTCAAGTGGCAAAAATCCCTCATGGATGTTCAAGAAAATAAAGGCGCCAAAGTTATAAGGAATAAATGCTTTTATTTTCAATGTAATTAGCAGTATCTATCTGTAAAACTTACCAATTGAAATTTAAAATCTTGTTGTATAAATAAAGGGGCAAGATTCCACTGAAAAAAACACAGATTCAATTAATTTATCTTCTCTCTTAATGATATCAATAATACAGGAACAAATTCCAGTACAAATTCCAGTACTTTTCATCATTTTTTTTTTTTTTTGTGCAGTTTTCCGTCTTAACCCAACCTCAAAAAAAATCCCAATGAAAAACTTCATTCAAACTTAGCTGAAGAAGTAACCTCGTTTGATTCCATATTATGAAAACACTTCTCCCAGCCACCCGCGCAAATATCGAGTAAATATGATCTCAGCTTTGCCACATGAGAAGCAGACGATTCAGTTATGTCCGAGATATGGACTTCAATGAAACCTAAAGTTGTAAAATCCTATATATATATTCTTAGCAAAGCAGAAAGAGGTACATTCTTTATTACTGAGCTATAGCAAAAAGAAATCTATGGCTCAAACTCTACTACTGCTAGTGTAACAAAATAAGATGCAATAAAAGTATGAGATATACAAAAGATGCAAAGGCTTCTGTAGAAAACTCCAAGAATGTACAAACCAAATTGGATCCACCAAGACCTAATAATCCGTAAGATATGTTTTGCAACTATTATAAGAAGGGAGAACATACAAAAGGCATCTGTAGAAAACTCCAAGAGGAGCTTCCATACAACAAAAACTAGCCTCTATATCAAAATCAGTTCAGAAAACATAAACAAATGCGACATCTTTTGGAAAAAATAAAATAACTTTGTATATTCTTAAGAGCAATAAAAAAAACAATGGGTAAATTTCGATGGCTCAAGCAAGTATTCCATGTCATATCTCTCTTGTGCTTATAAAACTAGTTTAAATTGAATATGGATAATAGAATGTGGTGCAGTTGATGACATGACCAACTTTTCAACCAAATTCATATCTTGCATGGTGTGCCAAGGAAACCATCAAATAAAGGTACATAATGGAACACTTGTCACTTCTACTGGAAAAGGGATCTATAAAACTCACACATTACATTTTATTGTCACCTATTTTTAAGTACAAAAGTTATCCACAAATCTATTATTCAATCAAAAACATAGATCAAACAAATCGCATTACATTGCTTTCATCCCACCATAAGAGATTGCCATCAATCTTTTAGCATAGACAACAATGCATGTTTCCAATGCTTCTCAATAATATAAATGTTTAGTTCAAATGTGAGATATGTCATATAGCCAAACACCAAAGAATTCCCTACCCCAAAGCAGCTCAAGAGCATCAACACCTTTCCTAATCAAAACCAACGTCTAAGGGCCATCTTGTATAACTAACATTAAAAGAGCTAGATGATTTGTGACTTTCATTGATAATTGCTCACAAACAACCTAGCTTTTTCATATGAAAAATAAATCTAGATGATTTGCCACTTTCATTGATACTTGCTCACAAACAACCTAGTCTTTTCTCATTTAAAATAAGTCTAATGTGCATACAATCTTCCCAATATTCCATAAGATGATCCTTATCAAATATGAGAGAATGCGATGTGTGAACAATATTCCGCATATTCCATAAGATGATCCATATCAAATTTAAGACTAATATTTAATTTATCAGATCTAAAAAAGAGAAAATATTTTAATCAAACTCTATTATTTTTCCTCCATGAAAATGACATCATCCAAGAATTATGTTATATCGTACCTTAAAATATAATGGCGTACAAAAGAAAAAATTGAGCATCCACTAAAAATCAATAGAGCCATACTCTTGAAAGGAATGTTCCAAGATTTTATTGGAAGGAGGCCACTTGAATTATTACATTCCTAATAACTAGCTCCCGAGAAAAATTTTAGAAAAGAAAACATACGTTTAAACCCTCCCATAATTTTTCCAGACGTTCAACAATCAATGCTTTCATAAATTTTTGGAGTGTTGCATATCTCCATTAACATTATCAAAACACTAAATTGGATCCAAGAGCCATAAGATGCAATTTCATTGGAGACTTGACCAAAAAAAGCTGTTACCATTTCGATATCAAAAACGTCATCTCATGGGATGTTTTATCTACGCTAAAAATTAAGGGTTTTATGATCAAGATTGTATGTAGGGGAAGCTTTGCAACGAAGGCAATTCTAGTTTCTTTACATTTGATCTCATAACCACCCAACCAAAGCAAAAGCTCTCAAATAACTTGGATTTCCTTGCAAACAGAAATAGTCCTCATATAGTTGCAAAAACATTCTTCCTAAGAAACTTCAATCAGTAATGCAAGTATGATTATATAACAAAAGAAAAATGACTTTGAAATATAACGCATCTCAATCACCTATTCTTTGCAATAGAAATTACCGAACAGTAAATGCATTATCACTACAGTTGAAATGCGAACCCATCCTAATATTAGCCTGTCAATTGCATTAGAAAAGAAAGACGAAATATGCACCCAACATCCAATAGCAAACCTTATTTCAT